ACTACCCTACCCTAACCTAGCTTTACCCTGCGTAACCTAACCTAACTAAACCTAAACTAACATAACTAAACCTAATATTATGAAACATAACATAACTAAACCTAATAGTATCAAACATAACATAACTAAACCTAATCTAACAAAATATAACATAACTAAACCTAATATAACCTAACTTAACCTAACCTTAGTTAGGTTAAAGAGACAGAATTAAAGAAAGTAAGAAAGAAGAAAGGAAAGAATGAAATAGAGAGAAAGAGAAAAAAACATGATAAATCTATGCGTAGAGAGAGAGGAAGGGGGATAGAGGAGGGATGTGAGCCAACCATTTTAATTGACAGATAAATTCTAATCAATTAACGTTTGTATGACAGGTAAATGGCAATTTGTACCCTTAGGTTGACACGTGACTCTAATTTGCACTTGTTTGGCTGACAGGTCATTGCTAATTCATGGATTTTTCGCTATAGAATGGCAATCAGAAAACCGTTATGTTTTTCGATTTATATTGCTCCTCATCCTCATCGTTTATGTCACTTATGTTAATTTACTTATGTTAATGTCCATTAAACTTTCCACTTCTTGTTATCACACGTGTGTTTGTATACGTATATGCATATGTCTATATACATACATATAAGTATATACGTATATATATATATATATATATATATATTTATATATTCGAGTCTTCATCAGGGAGGGCTGTTAATTATCTATCCGTGAGGTTCCTCTCTATATATACCCGCACAGTCGGTCAGACATCAGGACCGCAGTAAGAGCGCAGGATTGCCTGTTGAAGCAACCGCGTGGCTTGGCTGTAGAATCAGTAGCCCTGCGGCACGGTCGAGAGCCGGCCTCAGCCCCGTGGCGCCGGGTCGAACATTTCGTCCTCTTTTTCGGCTTCATACGTGTTCGTGTTTTATGTATGCGTGTGTATGTGTATGCATTTGTGCGTGTGTGTGTATGTGTGTGTGCATATACTTATGCATGTGTGTGTACATGTGTGTGTGCATATACTTATGCATGTGTGTGTACATATGTGTGTGTGAGTGCATCTGTTTATGAATGTGCTTATACATATGTATGTGTGTGCGTGCGCATCTATGTCTGAGTGTGAATGTGTTTATGTACTTGTGTTTGCATGTGTGAGTGTATGTATGCCTATTTGTTTTGTATGAATTCATGTGTATGTATATGTGTATGTGTACATATATGTGACTGTGTGTGTGTGTGTTTAAGTGTGTGTGTATGATTGTGTATTTTTTTGTCTGCATGCTGTCATTCTTTCTCTCCTTCTCCCCCTTTTTTCCCTCTCCCTCCTTTTTATCTCCCTCTTTTTCTCTTCCCCCATCCTTCACTCTTTCCCTCTCTCCCACTTCCTCCCTTCTCTCTTCTTTCTCTCTCTCTCTCTCTGCTTTTTCTGTTTCCCTCTCTCTCTGTTTTTCTGTTTCCCTCTCTCTCTCTCTCTTTCCCCTCCCTCTCTATTCTCTCTCTTTCTCTCCTTTTTTCCCTCTCTCTTTCCTTTACCTTCTCTCTCCCTTTTATCCCTCTTTCTCACTTTCCTTCCCTCTCTCTCCCTTTCCTTACCTCTATCTCTCTCTTCTTCCCTCTCTCCCGTTCCTTCCCTCTCTCTCTCTTTAGCCTCCCTCTCTCTTCTTTCCCTCCCGAGGAAGGAGGAAGAGGAGGAGGAGGATAGGGAAAAAGAGGGGCGGATGGTTCGAGGAAGAAGGGGACAAGGAAGAGGAAAAACAGGGGGAGGAAGAGAGGAAGCAGAGGAAGAGAAGACGAAGAGGACGAGGAAGAAGGAAAGAGGATGGGAGGAAGGGGCGGAAGAGGAGGAAGAGGACGAGGATGATAAGACGAGAGGAAGAGAGGAAGAGGAGGAAGAAGGAGGATCGGGGGAGGCGGGACGAGGGGGGGGGGGAGTTGTCAGTGACACCGCCTTCAGGAAGCCATGAAGTGGGCGCTGATGCCTCAGGCCACGCCCACCTCTCGTGCTAGCCACACCCCCAACCGGCACTAAGCTCCGCCCCCACGTAGGGGCTCGGCCAATGGCTCGAGGTGGGTGGGGTTCGACGAGGAAGAAGGCCCGCCATTGGCTGTTCCAGCGGGCGGCTTCTCCCCATTGGCTGGAACGACGCCGCTGCTCGAAGGCCGAAAGGAACAGGAGGAGAAGGGAAGAAAAAGATTAATAAGGAGAAGGAAAAGGGAAGAAACGACCGAGATAAGATGAAGCAATAAGGGAAGATTGAGATTAAGAAGGAAAGGGGAGGAAACAATGAGAATGAGATTAAACAAGAACGAAAATAATAGATAATTAATTACGATTAACTAGAAACACGACGGATAATAAGAAAGAGTTAAAAACAACAGTGATAAAAGAAAATGAAGGAAAATTTCAATAATAAAAGATACAGAATAAATAATAACTAGAACAACATAAATAATTAAATAAAAACTAATAAAAATAGATAGAATACTTAGATAATAAAAAGATAACGAATAAAACAATGAAAACAATAAATTAACAAATAATAGAAAACTATAATAATGAAAATTTTTAAATTGTGAATGAATAACAAACATAACAAATGATGATTAATTGAAATTAATAAGAACGATGAATGATAGATATTTATTTTCTTATCATTACCATTACCATGTTATCAGAACGAAATCATTATTGTTATCTTTTTTTATGTTTTTACTCTCATTATCATCTTTACACGTTTTTATTATCTCTCTCTCTCATTCTCTTATCATTTTCTTCATTATCATATATCGCACTTTTTGTTGTCATTTAAATCATTACTTTCCTATTATTTTATTACTATTCTCATTCTTATTATTGCATCTCCCTCTTTTTGTCACTCTCCTTCTCTCTCTTCTTTCTTTCTCTCTTATTCTTATTATATTATCGCTACTGTTATCATTAATATTGCTATTATCATTATCTTTCCCTATTACAACAATTATCTCTTCCTCTCTCTTTCTCTTTCTTTTCCTCATTCTCATATTTCTATTTTATATCATTATCATCTTGTTTTTTATTATCATTATCATCATTAGCTTTCCCTTCCTGTGGGCTCGGCACAGTATGTTCTTATTCTTATACTTAACATCTTTATCAATATTGTATTCTTATAATTATCATCATATTATCATATGCTTATCATTATGCCATCAATATTATTTTTATTGTATCGTCATTATCACTATTATTGATATTATGTTTCATCATTATCAATATTATCATTACTATGATTAAATCTTTCAATATCATTATTACAATTATCATCAACATCAATATTACTGTTATTACCATCATCAATATCATTATTACTATTATCATCATCACCTCGCCACAGGTTTTGCATTTCTTTTCTTCTTCTTATCATGAGACGAGGGGGGGGGGGGGGGGCAGCGGCGGAGAGACGAGGGAGGGAAGCGAGAAGGGGGGGGGGGAGGGAAGGGAGCAGCCGGAAGAGACGAGAGAGGGAGAGCCGGAGAACCGGACGAGAGAGGGGTGGGGGGGAGAGGAAGCTGCCTCCCCCCCCCCCCAGCGCCTCCTCCGGCCCCCAAAGTTCCTCCTCGACCAGAGGTCTGCCGAGCGTCCCTCCGCTGGCGGGCCCACAGGACGCTCCGCCGGGGGGGGGGGGGGGGGGGGGGAGCCCAGGGAGGTCCTCGCCGAGCCCAGCGGTCCCTCCACAGGCAGCACGGAATAATCTGCAGGAGAGATGGGTTAGGGTCGTTAGCCCCTGTAGAAAGGATTAATGAGGGTCATTAGCTTCTGTAGAAAGGATTAAAGAGGGTAATTAGCTTCTGTAGAAAGGATTAATGAGAGTAATTAGCTTCTGTAGAAAGGATTAATGGGGGTAATTAGCTTCTGTAGAAAGGATTAATGGGGGGTAATTAGCTGCTGTAGAAAGGATTAATGAGGGTAATTAGCCGCTGCAGTAGGGAATGGCTAGGGTAATTGGTTCCCCAGTGGGATCATAATCATCTGCTGAATGGAGGATTAATTACTCGTGTAACGATTGTGATACATTAACTAGGACATTCATTATTAGTGGAAGTAATCGTGTAATTTCATCTAAGAACAATCGATCAACTAATTACGGAATTTCAAGTGTTGACTGAAATCACACGATGAAATCTAATGATAATCAATAGTATCATCGATTTCATAATTTAATCCATTTAAGTGATTAGTCCTCAGGTAAAATCATAAAACCAAAGATCACAATATACAGACGAAACAAGAAGAAAAACATCACTGCCTCTGATACAAGATGGTTTTCATAGGAGAGTCAACAGGAAAGATACGACAAAATGGCAATATGACAACCAGAGTGGCAGAATGACCACCAGAATGATGGCAACACTATGACAAGCAGACTAACAATATGGAAATCAGAATGACAATTTCACCATAATGAAAACATGGCCACCATAATGATATGACAACCAGAATGATTATATGGTAACCTAAATAACAATATGACAACCAGATTGACAATATGGCAACCAGAATGACGAAATGGCAGCCAGAATATGACGACCATGAAGAAATTCAACAAACAGAATGGCAACATGATAAACAAATTGATAATGTGGCAACCAGAATGGCAATATGGCAACCCTTATGAAAAAATGACAACCACAGTTATCACAACAATATGACAATCTAAATTATAATATGGCAATCATAATGACAATTTGGCAACCAAAGGAGAATATGATAATCAGAAAGACAATATAACAATTAGAATGACAATATGACAAACTGAATGAAATATGATAACCATAATGACTGTGGTAGGTTCTTTTAATGTTTGCCACTTTTTAGATCCTTCATCACTTCATTTGGCAGTATTAGAGGTGGGTAAATAAACAATTATTCATAATCAGCAATATATTTACACTTTTGCATAATAAACATAAATCAGTTTTCTATAGAAGTCACTCCCTTGTTGCAAATCCAAGGAAAACGGCAAGTCGTCCTGTTAGGAGCGGAGTGGGGCGTTACTACGGCTACTCCTGTTTCGTTCATTCCCTTATTAGAGCTGCTTCACCAGACTTTGTTATTATATTAAAACTGAAAAAGAGATAAGTGGATTGCAAACTGAACAATTATAATATATTCGAAGAATTCCATAACTGATAGTAAGTCCCCGGTGACAATATATAAAGACTCACGAGAATGCAGGTGAGCACCGTGCTCTCTGACAGGTGTGGGTGAAAAGACGCGCTCTCTCCGTCATCGCCTTTGTCATACCTCAGGCGTTCGTGTAAGACAAAGGGAGATGCTTACAAAAACCCATATGAAACTTAAATAACCTTTTTTTATATATATAAATATATCTACGTAATCCAACAGGTTACGTAAAATTAATGATTTGAATGAACATTAGACCAATCCATGTACAATGACAATATGGCAACCGTAGTGACAATATGACAACCGGGATGTCGGAGACAAGGGACTGTCAAGACCCACCGAGCACATCCTCGAAGTCGTCCTCCTCCGCCTCGCACCGCTCCCGGCGAGAGAAAGGCATCTGGGCGACTGGCGGAGCACGGAGGCGTTTCAGGGAAGGAGACGGGAAGGGACAGTCGGAGTATGGCTGATTTTCAAGGGAAAATAAAAACGTTGGAATATTAAGGAATTTTTGAGAGAAAGAGAAAAATAATTGTACATCTGCAACTCTCTCTTTCTCTCTCCCCTTTCCTCCCTCTCCCTCTTTCCTTCTCACTTTCTCTTTCGCCCTACCTTTCTTTTTCTTTCTCTCTCTTCTCTTCTCTTTCTCCCTCCCTTTATCTTTCTCTCCATCTTTCCCTTTTCTGTCTCTCTCTCCCTTTCTCTTTCCCTTTCTTTCTCCCTCCTTTCCCCTCTTTCTCTTCCTTTCTAGGTCTCTCTCTCTCTCTCTGTCTCCTGTGTAGAAATTCTTTCTTTCTATCTTTTTTTCTCTCTTTCCTCTTTCTCACTCTCCTTTTTTTCATTAATTCTCTCTCTCTTTCTATCTTTCTTTTTTTCTCTATTTTTTTCACTTGCTTCCTCTCTCTTTCTCTCATTCCTTCTTTTTTTCTCTCTTTCCATTTTAAATTCGTTCTCTCTCTCTTTAACTTTTTCCCTCTTTCTTTCTGTAATTTAATTTTAGATTCGCCGTCTCTTTCCTCCTCTCTCTCCTTTCATCCATATTCTCTCTCCTCCCCCCTTCTCACCTGCTGCGCTGAAACCCCCTGAGGCGTCGGCTGCGAACCCATCACCAGGCTTCCTTCGCCTCCCCTTTCCTCGCGCGGCTTTCTTCTCTCCTCTCTTCACTCTGAGGAACAGGGAGGATTGTATTCTCTTTTCTCTCTATGTATATCTCATTCTCTTTCTCTGTAAATCACTCTCTCTCCTTCTCTTTCTCTTTAAATTTCTCTCTCTCTCTCCTTCTCTTTCTCTTTAAATTTCTCTCTCTCTCTCCTTCTCTTTCTCTTTAAATTTCTCTCTCTCTCCTTCTCTTTCTCTTTAAATTTCTCTCTCTCTCTCTCTCCTTCTCTTTCTTTCTCCTCTCTTCCTCCCTACTCTCTTTCTCTCTCCTCTCTTCCTCCCTCTTCTCTTTCTCTCTCTTCTCTCTATCTCCTCTCTCCTTCCCCATAATAACAACATAAATAATAATAATGAGAGCAATGATAATAGGTGATATTGATGGTAATGATATCCTATAATGATGATAATGATTAATATGGAAAAAGCAATAAGAATAGTGATAATGATAATAAAAATAAAGATAATGATAAATAATGATACTGATATTAATAATGATGATGATAGTGATAGTGTAATGATAACAATAACAATTAAAAAGAGGACATAAGCAAGAATAAAGAATATTCATAGAAATGATAATAATAGCAATAACGATAACATCAATGATGTTAATAATAATGATAATAATAAAACAATAGAAGTGGGAATGATAACCATACTATCGATAATATTACCAATACTAATATAAATAATCATGATAAAGATGGGAAAGATATTAAGAATAATTATGAAAAAAATAATGCCAAAATCACGGACCCTAACGTTAATATTAGAAAATAATGATAATAATAGTAACAATAACTGACGTGATACATATATACACACATGTACAAACACATACACACACACACACACACGCGCGCGCGCACGCACACACACGCGCAAGCAAACACACACACACACACGCGCGCACACACACACACGCGCACACACGCACGCAGGTACACCCACACGCACACACACGCACGCACGAGCACGTACACACACACACACGCGCGCGCACGCACATACACACACGTACACACACACACTCACACGTACGCACACGCACACACACACGCGCGCACACATACGCACACACATACACACACGCGCACAAATACACACACGCACATACACATACACGCGTGCACACACAAACACCCACACACACGCACGCACATACACACACACGCGTGCACACACATACGCACAGCCGTAAACTTCGCATTCAGAAAACGAGCGAAATAAATTAAATTAAATTTCGTTGAATTGAGTGAGATCAAAGAAGAGTAGAAAATGGGTGAATATAAATAAGTAAATAACAAAGAATTAGACATAAGAAATTGATACAAATGTAAAAAAGAACAATGAATAATAGAAAGAAGCGGATAAATAAAACAAAACGAATAGATGAATAAAAATGAATAACTGAAAAAATAACATAAACGAGTCGATATCGAAAGCAATGAATAAATGCAATAAAAAGATTAAAATAACATAATATAACCTGACATAAATTAAGATAAAAAACAGTGAATAACAAAAGCGAATAGACAACCAAAGCGAATCAACGACCAGAAACAAACGCGGGGCTTCGGCCATTCTCTCTCGCCCTCGCCGGTCGCTCCTTGCCTCGGGAGGTCGCTTTTCTCTCGGACTATTCTGGTGCCGTTGCTTTCGCCTGCAAATGTCTGTCAGAGTATTAGTGTTGCGCAACTCTCTTGCGAGCGGCTTGCGGAGGAGACGCCGCAGATGGGAAGCGCCTTATTTCCGGTCATTCTGTCCGTGGCAGTCTCTTACCTTGCACTGTTGGCGGCGGGAAACTGGAACTCAATAATCGTTCGTTCTCCTTTTCTCGCGAATAATTAGCGGCAAACGTACGTTCTGGGGAGGGTTGTTGGCCTTAGCCGCAGCGCCAGGGCTAGAGTATCAGGTTTCAATAAGCCTGTTTTTTTTTTTTTTTTTTTTTTTTTTTTTTTTTTTTTTTTTTTTTTTTTTTTTTTTTTTTTTATTCCTTGTTTTCCGTCGCATTTGACGGCGTAACTTGTATACCCCGACGGGAAAGCCGACAAAATGTGTAACCGTCGGCTGCGCGCTGCATTTTCAGGAAGAGTGAGCATGATTTACACACAACAAAATAGAAAAACACACAAACACTGAACTAGCCTTAAAACGTGTTTGTTGAAACTCTACGGGGAGGTGAATCACATTTCACTTACAATTCTGTTCAATGTGGTATTACTTTTTGCCTCAATGGCGTACGGTACAGTGTATTAAACCACTTGAATTAAAAAGCACTTTTAAATATGAAAATGCGTTTAGTAAGATTCCTGATGACCCTGTCAAATTGATGCTTAAAGCTTCATTAGCTGCTCCTCAAACAGTACCAGTCTTCAAACAGCAGCCTTTCAACACATATTAGTAACAGAGTTTGCAAACCTTAGCGATGAGGATCTTCAAATATGGAAACGGTTCAATATCTATACCTGCTATAAAACTTAAGATGGATTGCATTTGAACTCGCCTGAGCGCCAAAATCTTCGGAGGCCGTGGCGGTTGGCGACTGCGCGCAGCTTAAAATAATTATTCGTCCTGCGTATCTGCGGATGCTTTTAACCCGTGAAGCCACACCGAATCCGTCAGCTGTGGTCGTTGGCAATAGACGGCAGTCATTTTCAGCAAGACTGCGTGAATTGTACTATTAAAAGTAAGGGATTTTTATTACATTGATTTGCTTAATATGCGATGTTCACTTCGTGCAATATAGATATAGGTTCTCGTTATACGCTAATTAGGTGGTCCTAACCTTATATCGCCGCGCCTCCGTCATTACGCCTCGCCGTCAAGCGTCCTCGACGTGGCGTTTCGAGCGCTAGATGTGTCTTGCGACTTGTGAAACTTTCGGTCGGCTTTATATATTTTTTTTTCACACGTACACTTACTTTGACGGCGCCCAGACACACACTGAGCCTTTTTTTTAAAGGTGGGGAGGGGCGATGGCACAGCTTTCCGAAAAAAAAAGGTTTGGTCATAAAAACCTGACGTCATTTTCTGAAGCTTCCATTGGCTAGGATTGGTCGGTGTTTGCCAAAGAGGAAAATCCGTTAATTTGCCACCAAGTGCCCATTATATATGGTGTCTATTTCTTAGTTTTTTACACAAAAAGCATTTATTATCGTCGTTTCGGGTGTTCTGTGTTGTGCCTTGTGCGAAGCATTTCAATGCGTTAAAACATTAAATTTATTTACTATGCTTTCGGGAGAGTTTTTCAAGTCGCCGACGAAGGTTGGTAAAGTCTCCCCCCCCCCCTCCTGGGCCCCTCTCGGTAGATCCGTCTCGTCAAGAGGACCTGAGGCAGGGCAGGTCCTTCTCTGTCCCTCCTGAAGGGGTGCGGGCGAGGCGCCGACCAGAAGGACTGTGGAGGAGCGATTCCTATGTTTGCTTCATGCACAAACAACGCCCGAGATAATATGCTTTCAACTTGCGTCTGTCAGGGGCTTCGCCCTCTCCTTACGGCAGAGTCACAGCTGTCCATATTTCGAGAATGACTATGCGGGTTTATCAGATGGTGAGCACACGCAGGGTCCTTCACTGCGCCGTTTGCACATCAGCTGTGGCTACAATGCTCTCGCTTCATTTGCTTGGGTGATGAGCGTGTCTGCCGCGCAAGGCGTGTCACGCACTACCGCCACGATTTCCCGTCTTCTTCAATGTCCTCGAAGGCAATTCACTCGCCTGAGCTCTCTATCGCTTTTCTGATGCCAGTGCCTAATGGATTTTGATGTGTTACCTACGTGTCTAATAGCACTGATAGCTATGGATATTCAAATACAGTTAAAAGCTTTCTCGTAATCCTTCAAAAACAATGATTAACGCACAGTATATATTTTCAAAAATAAATTCAATCTTTATCGGGAAACGACGTTTTTATGGCTGGCTGAAAATAATAGTTCCCATCAGTCGCCGCGATTTATTGTGCTCTGCTTTTCGACAGAACACCGCGATGTAACGAAATACACAGATTCCTCCTAAAAGCGAACTCTGAAATAACTAATCGGTTGTGGAGCTCGCAGTCGGGTTTCCATTTCCGATTAGTTATCAAATCTGCTTCCACGCCTCTCGCACGCCTGGCGCCGTGTGATTCGTCCGGTTTCATGCACTGGCTTTCGTAACGAGCATGCCGCGCGTTTGATATGGACAGTAAAATGCTTTAAAGGCCCGGCAGAAACTCGCGTAGTAGCGTCCGACATTTAAAATTCCCGCGCAATTGTCCGGGCCCTTCTTGCCGCAACATGTGCCAGGCATATTGATTTGAGTAAGAAATTTATTAGTTCCTGTAAATACTCGATATTATTGTGGTATCACTCTTGTATTGCCATATCATCTATGCCTATCCTTTTAGGCCGAAACAAATTCCGTCATGGAAGTTCTTGCGGGCTTCATCTACGTACAGAATTGAAATGTGACAATCAGTGTACAAAGGAAAAAAACACATTAAAAAACGAAGTGGCAACATTGAGGTGGGGAAGGATATCTGAGGGTGAATTTTAAAATATTAAAGTCGCGTTTCCTAGATTTACTCGCTCTGTCCATGCACATATTATTTTTCTCATAAAAGATGGCTGGTTGTCACTTAACCGTTACCAAAGACAAAGGGCTAAGAAAGAGGAAGAGAGAAATAGTGATAATTATTTCAGGTTCATTGAAATCTTTTTTTCTCTCTCTCTCCTGATTTATTGACTTTTATCTCCTATCTCCTTCCTTCTCTCTCCCACCTCCTCATTCTCCTCTACGTCTGTTCTTCTCTATTCTTAGTCCTCCATTCTCTCCCCTTCTCCTCTCTCTCTCCTCCTCCTTCTTCATCCAGATTTGCTCTTTATTCCCTCCTTTATTCTCCGTTTCTTCTTCTTTCAATCCTTTCGTTTCATCCACTTTTCACACGAAATTATCCAATTATTTCTTTCCCTTTTCCTCTCCAAAAATACAAACAACGAGACAAGTAGATAAATAAAAATGTAAAAAAAA